AGATACCAAATTGCATGCGCTTGAGAACTTCTTCTTTTTAATTCTTACAGGACTAAGTTCCAGAAATGTTGCTTACTGATTCCTGGAATACAGCTTGCTGCTTTGCTTATAATTGCATTCTGTCTTTTTTGTGTTCTTGAAGATATAACCTTTTCATATAGTTCTAACGAGTCAGATCAAAGATTTATCAGATATACTAAGTAATGCACAATAATACTGCATTTTTGGTGGAAGAATTAAAGAGAAAACAAAGGGATGGAAATCAATTTCTATGTAGACTGGCTGGGGCATGCTGTCTAAATGTGCTTAAGATTCTGCCTTTAAGGAGTTAAAACTAAACCAGGAACAGACTTCACTCTCTCACCAGCACAAAGTAAAAGATGAGGTTTGATATCATTGGGTTGCCCGGTTAACCCAGATTTCCTTCAAAGACTGGAAGAAATGCTTGCCACAATAGCAAAGGTGCATTTTTTACATTGTTCACATTGCTTTACTGCCATACAGCAACTTCCTCTGACCCATTTACAAAACCTTCAGACCATGGATGACCACTGAACTGGAACATTGTGAAATATGGCCTGAAAGCATCACTGATACCCTCCACTCATCCCCCAAAGCAACAGGATATATGGAAACTGGTTGCCAAGCTTTTATCTTCCATTTATTGTTAGTTAACAGCAAGGCAAAACAAGAGAGCAGCACACAGCACCACTGGAAAAGCCCTGCGGTAGGCAGCTCCCACTGTGAACAGCCGACATGTATGGCTGCTATCCTGAACAACAATTCAGAAGTCTAGTATGTGACAAATTCTGATCCTGCCACAATTTGTGTTGGAGGAACTGCCTCTGCTTTCTGTGCAACTTTCCACTAAGACTGCCAGCACTGGCAAGAGGGTTTGAAAAAAAAGCGATGAGTGACATAGCGAAGCTTTCGCACGTCATGATGGCACTTCTGGTTTGCAACTTCATAATGTACTAGATGCTCTAGCCCAAGTTTTTAACAGCACTACAACAGAAGTAGTATCAGTAAAACCGTAATATGTCATCTATGTGAACATGAGTTTGAACTTAACTCCGTAAGGGTCCCATGTGCAATATCTCAGCTTCATAAATATGCAGCAATTAACCATTTATTTATCCAAGCCTGTTGCAACCCCATGACAACATTAAGTAGGCTAGGCCGAGAGAGAGCCAGCTACTTGACTGAGTGGAGATGCAAGCCATGTCTCCTTCGCCCTAGTCAACGCTAACCACTGCACCACACTACATCTTATTTAGCAATTAATATACTTCATAGCTACTGGATGAGTCTGATTCTTGTTTTTAGAGGCTGGATCCAAGAGTAAGCTACAGCAACTTCCCAAGGCCACCAAAGCCCAGAATCTGAGTGCAGTTCCCTCATGACCAGTGTTCCTATTTGTTTATATAGTGTTCAGGCACAGCCAACTGAGAAAAGAGACAGGTGCCTGTTATGTGCCTTCAAGTTGTCCCCAACCTATGGTGAGCCTATGAATGAAAGCGCTCCAAGATGTCCTATCCATGACATTCTTGCTTAGTTGTTCTAAATTCAAGGTTGTATCTTCCTTTATGAGGTCAACCCATCTCTCGTTTGGTCTTCCTCTCCGCCAAGTTACCCTGTATTTACAAGCCTGAAACCAACCCACAGGAGCCGTAATCTTGAATCTAAAGCCACATTTCATGAGGAACTGAAACACGGTGGGTGGGGTGAAGTATGCTGGGTCAAATACAATTTCAATAATGAAAGCTGAGTCAGCTTACACTGAGCTGACCCCTCACTGTAACCCCTTTCAATGCTACCACTGTAGTTTTATTTTTGACATTCACAAGAGGTCTCTCCACATATAGCTCTGCTACAGATGCACACACATTAAATTATAGGAGCACCCCATCCACTTTGCTGATTAGAGTTACCTACATCTAATCTAAATCTGTTTAGTACAATGTATTCAACTCCCAAGATCAGTTTGGTATAAGTCATTATGTCCATGGTTAGGAAACAAGTGTGGCAGTGCAGAGAAGAAAGGAAATGAGCAAATAAATCAAGCAGGTTCATAAAATCCTCCGACAGTTCATTTTATATGAACAAATCCACGTATTCCATAGAATTTAATGCATGTAAGAAAAACAACACAAACCAAATTATTCCATCTCCTTCACTTTAAACAAGAGCCAAGCAAGCCACTGCTGACACACATGCATGCACACACAAAAAGAGCAAGCAAGTTCACTGTCTTGCTCTCAGAACACCCTTTTGAATAAACCCTGGTCACTCTGCAAGTCGAAATGAGCAGTCCTTGCACTGGCGTTCTCAGTCTCTGGGATCACTGAATGAGCAAGGAGAGACAGAGTGCTCTGGTTTACAACTCTCTATTAAGAGAAAGAGAGCCATTTCGCTGTGTTGGAAAATGCCTAGAACAAACCATGGGATGTCGAGGGTGGCTTGTTGCCCCAAAATAAACCACCCTGTGAGAACTGGTTTGTTTTGAAATGACACAGTTGCCCATCGTGGCTAGTCACATGTGATGCAATATCATGTTGAGCAAACACATTCACTGTGGAAGCACACACACATAGAAAGGTGCAGAAATATCACTGTGTTAGACGCTTTGACGGTGGGTGGGTCAGGTGTAAAGTGTGTGGGTGGATCAGGTTTACAGCTGCCCAGAGACAAACCACAATGGATGGGAGAGAAATAACCTAATATAAATAAATGGGTGTTTCGATATGCGGGACATACGGGTTTGAAGAAACATGAGAAGCATGTCCCACTGACACTGGAATTACACACAAGTGGACTCCAAGTGACTTCTGGAGGCAGCAGGTTGCAGCAAGAGCTTGTTTCTCCACATGCGAGGGCAGAGAAGGTGAATAAAACTATTTTGCACCTTCACAGTGTTGAGTGTCTTGTGTACATTAAGTGGTAATGATGCACATTAAATCTATTTCAATTTTTCCAGTGTGGGAAAAGTCAAAGCAGCAGGAATATGTTTGAAGGTACTGCACTGTAGTACATAAAGATTTGTTTCTTTATGAAAGGAAGTAACAGCATAACCCTCAACAAGACTAAGCCTGTTAGGACCATTTCTGAACTCACAAAATCAGCTCTTGCAATACATCTATAAACTCTGGGAACATTTTTCTCAAGATTTTAATTAAGCTTTTCTTGTGTGGTAACATCAAGAACAAATAATTTCATTCTCCAGAAGGCTCTATGAAGGCACCTGATTTACCTTGAAGGCAGTGTTTAGTAAAGCATAGAGAATATAACAAGTCCACATGACAGTGGACGCCGGCTGACAGTGTGGAGTGCAAAAGATGCTTGGGCACTTGGGAGTCTGAACTGTACCTGAGGGGGGAGAAGAAAGCCAACAACCCAGCAGTCTTTTATTAGCTCTGCAGAATTTATATGTACACACCCTAAAGCATTTATGGATACAGGGTGCAAGTTTGTGTAAAGTTTGGTTTCTGTTCCAAAACCAGGCCTGAAACCCACTGAAATGGATTTAGGTAATTCATTTCAACCAGGAGTGTTTGGAGCTGCCCAGCACCACCTGCTGGAATGCCTTGCCCAGGAAGGGAATACTGACCAATTGCCTTTCTATCCTGCCCTCTACAAAAGTCTCACAACAGGTCTATAATTATTCGCATCAGCTTTTTTTAGGAGTGGCTTAATCACAGTCTCCTTTAAAGACACTGGTACCACTCCCTCCCTCAAAGAGACATTAACAGCCTCCTGGACTCAGGGAGCAATACAAATAGCCTAAACGGCTTGGGACAGGATACCTTAAGGAACACCTTTTTCCTTATTTGCCCTCCCGCCCCTGAGATCGGCAGCAGAAGCCCTCCTCCGGGAACCCTCCGTGAAGGATATTAGGAGGGGGAGTACCAGAGGAGGGCCTTCTCTGCAGTGGCGCCCCAACAGTGGAATGCGCTCCCCAGAGAGGTCCGCCTGGCGCCGTCATATGTTTTTCAGCGCCAGGTTAAGACCTTTTTATTTAATCAATAATGAATAAAGCATAAAGAATAAATAAAGAATAAAGCATATTCAATAAATAAAGAATAAAGCATATTCAATATGCTTTAATATTGAATTTTATTATCGCATTTGCAGCCAGAGTGGGTCATCAATTTATTTATGCCGTTTGCCATCCAGAGACATTGGTAATTGGACGGCATACGAATGAATGAATGAATGAATGAATGGGTAGCCGCACCAAGTTTAACGCTGAATGGGAGAGTAGTTTTCGATGAACCGGCTCTAAATAAGGAGCAATGAACACTAGAAGATCAGAACCACATGGGGGTAGGGAGCATCAGGGAATGCAGGGCCCATTTCTGTCCCTGTGTGGTAAAGGAATTCTTGGGAAGCTGCCAATCTGCAAAGCAGCTCACTTTGGCCACTGTAGCGCTTGACAGTGTCTGACAGAGTTTTGGTGGCAAATTCTCTTTTTGTTTTGCCACCAAGTATTTTGGCAACACCGTGGCGGCAGGCACTGCACAATGTTCACCTCTGCTTTATAGGAAGTTGCCGTATTCTGGGTGAGGTGGGAGCAGTCTTTAAAAGAATGTGGTGTCGCTGTTCTACATAACTGAGGATTTTTGAACTGGGGTATTTTGCAGAAAGGGTACCATATGGTCTACCCTCATCTAGCCTATTGCCCATATTATGGGTGGGTGGTTTCTAGGTAATAGATTGTTATGTGTGCCTGAGCAAGCCAGACATTCCCGGAAGGCACACACATACTGTTTTGGCCCCACAAAGTGATGGGGAATATACCTGTGGCATCCAGATGGGCTAGCAGAACATATAGGGGAGTAAAAATACATCGGGGGAACCAATGCACATGCAGAAACAAATCCTATCACATATTCCTTTCTACACATAATGTTTGGCTGCTAATCCAAATGTTAGAAGAAACATGGACCTGCATTATTCAGATTAAAGTAGTTAGGAAACGTCCAGTTAATGATCTTCTTTACCTTAATTACCGTAGGCACATCATCCATTCAGCAGACATTTGGATCACATAAAGGTTCACGTTCTGCCTCCTGGAAAATGAACAGAAAGACTGTTTTCCATTTGAACTAAAAACTGCTAGTAAGTTATGTAGGGAAGGTACAAATGATCCATACTAAAACATCCTGCCTGGGCAACTCCCATTCTCTTTATCTACTGTGTTGACACAAATATTGAAAAACGTCAATTATCTGACGGTAGAGATGGGGGCGGGGAGGGAGAGAGACAAAGAACTAATGGGCCTTTTGCCTAATCTAATAAAGTAATGCTCTGGATCATAATTTCTTAATCTACACTATACTGGCCTTATTCATGTGCCATCTTAAGACATTTTAGAACTTATACACGCCGGCTCCCTTTTCCCCTCCACAAGAAAAAGGCTCAGGAAGGCACCCCTCCAACAGGCAACTATTATGCAGGCTATCACTGAAGGCACAGGGGAAGAGATTTACTGACATTAACTCCTGATGGCAGATTTCTGCGAATGACAGATTTGTGTTCTAACTTATTGTGGTAGTTTCCAGCCACACACCCCACACACGCCCAGGCACCCAGTACACAGTGCTCTGCAGAATGCCAAGTTCTAAGGGCTTGCCACACTCTGCTTCATCTCTCTCTATGCAGGCTGCTCCCCTCCTCCATCAAATCTAGTTCCACTCCCCCTCTACAGCTGATCTGCCAAGGAAATCAAACACGAGAGATTCTACTTGCACGTAATGTACAGAACTAACAAGTGTGCTCTGAATTAGTACATGACAGCCTGCCAGAAAGAAGCAGGGCTGTTTGCTTATTGATATCATTTGCTGCCTTTGAAGAAGTTTTCCCAGTTAGCAAGCAGAGAAAACTGTGCATTAGCGAAAACTGCCACTACCAAGGAGCAGTTCAAGATACAAACATAAGACGGAAATGTGGAAGTAGAAGAAAGGTAAGAACAGACAGAAACAAAAATACTGAATTGCTTCCTTTACATAGGGACTTCCTGTGGCTCAGCAACATTATTTCCTCTCTATCCTCTTATTCACCTGGAGCAACATGCCTACAATTCCCATTCTGTTGATCCAGAACTTTCTTAATTTCAGGACAGTCACTGGATACTAGACAAAGCAGGAAGTTACACCCGTATCTTTTAGCAACCAAGTCCAGCAGGCTACCCCTAAACGAAGTCGTATGCCTGGATGCAAGGGAGAAACCTGCAGAGTAGAAAAAGCACATCATATGATGTTAAGTCCTAAACTGAGTATCCCAGAAGTCAGGTTTTTCCAACATGAAAAGCCTGGTTTCTTATGTTTAAAGAGAACTGCTTGAAAATTGTATGTGGGCAATGCCCAGTTATTCTCAGAAGCCAGAATAATAGCAATTCCTAGTGTCTTGCATACCTGCTCCTTAGCACTATTTATTATGCCTACCCTAGCCATGAGCACAGACATCGCCCAATTAAATAGATCTAACATTTATTTTACCAATTTCTAAACCATACTTTATAACCTAGCATCCCAAAGGTGGCATACTTAGTTATGAAGACAAGACAAACCAATTTTATGCAGGAGGCAGAAGAATCCTAAACTCACAATAATGAACAACCTATCTGCACCAGTTGCATTGGCTACCAGTACATTCCAGGGTCCTCAACAGGTGATTTACTTAGGCTATTACTACTCCTACTCCTACTACATTTTCTATACTACCCATAGTTGAAGCTCTCTGGGTGGTTCACAACAGTTAAGCCACCCATCCAGATTCCAATCAGGCCCGACTCTGCTTAGCTTCCACAATCAGGCAGGATCAGGCACTTCAGGCTATATGGAAACTATTTGGCATGGCAGCTCCTGGTGTTGGTACTGCAGCTTTAACACTAGCTTGGATGGCAGTTAGTAACAGAGTCAGAAGCTAAATCAAAACTGGTATAAACAGATGCAATCTATGTAACTGTTCAACTGAAGCAATCAATCCACATAACAATACTGAAAGGGCAAGCAAGGCCTTCCACATACAACAATTAAGTTTAACGCCTGCAAATTCTGTAGAAAACCCCCAGCAAGATGTGCTAAATGGTTGAAAGCCCCTCATACAATTTAAAACTCCAATGAATGAGCCATTGCTAACCTTTCTATCTAAAAGTGGGACTACACCACACTTAAATCTACCTCTCTTACAGTGCTAGGTCTCAAAACAACCTATTATGCCACGGTCTTGAGTCTAAGCACTAGAACAGCCTCCAGTTACCATCAGCCAACAGTCCTCTAAGTCAACTGGAGGACACCAGGATGAAGAAAGCTCTCATTAGAACCTTCTGCCCCCTCCCAATTTCTGGTGATTTTGGAGGGATGTGATCCATCCGACTCACCTTTAAACCTACAATCAGTAGCCGCAGCCTTTTCCTCTCTGTGTTCAAGGAGGGATTAACCCCTTTCTTCACACCTTTTTCCTGCTTTCAACTGTCTCTCCTATGGTATTTGTAGCAAACAGCAGATCAGAGTACAATTTTCAAAAAGAATAAGGTAAGGGAAGTCTTCAATCCAGATTGGGATCCTCTGTGCTGCTGCTGTTAGAAGAAAATGACAAATCCCAAATGAAGGATCAAAGATCTAGCTAATAATCCATCTAGCTGGACAGGTTTTTTTGGTTCCTCTAAATGATATGTTGAGCACTGGAAATTGCTTTCTCTACGGTACTGAATGGCATGCTCTGCTCAAACCATACAACTTGTTTAGGCTTCCCCAAAAGAAGGCCAGCACGCTTTGTACAGGCTTCTAGCTCTGCTTGAAGACTCAGGTTCACCTGTTGGGTCTATGCGAACACTCAGGTTCCAGTGGTGGCCAGAAGCGCCCTTTGCACACCCAAGGCAAGAGGGCCTGTTCCCGGAGGGGTCAGATCTGGCCACCCACCGTGATGCAGGCCTTATCTTGATCACACGTAGCACACATTACGGGGATCTGCTTTTGAAAAATGTTCTGAAATTTCAGCTGGTCCAGAGTGCTGAAGGCAGATGATTGACTGACTGGGGCCACTCACAGGGAACTTTGGGTTGACTTGCTAAATCAGCTTCACCATTTCTGGGCACAATCCAAGGTGCCCCTGCCTGTTCAGCCACCGGCACTGACTGCTGGTTATGACCTGTAAAGTCTTTCATGAGTTCGAATGAGGCTATCTGAAAGACAGCATCCCTCCATGTAAGTCTGCCTGGGTTGTAAGATACTTCGGAGAAGCTCCCTTGCAGTATCAGCAAACAAACAAACATTAAAGAAACAAAGAACTCCTGTACTAAGCAGGACACATGCACTGCACCAGAGTCCTTCATGAGCCCAAGTTCAAATAAACCAAAATTATCCAAACAGGAGCCATACACAGGGTCTTGAAGCCCAGCAGTATAATCCAAAATAGAGAGCTAAGGCACGGATTCCAGTCATACAATAGATCAGGGCTTTCTCATTTGTCAGTCCAGTCCCACAGGAAAACTGTGTTCCTCTTGCCCTTTCAGCCAGCAGAACTGCCTGGGAGATGGGCTTGGGCAGACCCCTTTCTCGGCAGCGTCTGTCTCTTGACCTGACTTCAGGTTCTTTCTTCTACCACTCGCCAGAGGAGTAACAGCCCCTCTGACTGCAGCCTGCTGTGAAACCAGGCAGACGCGATTCTTGGCGCCCAGATAAGTCATCCCCTGACTAGGCCCTAAGTCAGATTCCACTATCTCTGAATAAGGCTCCCACCTCTGGGACCACAACATCATGGGAAGGGCTTGATAAGAGAGCACATTCTTGGCCACTCTTGGGCTCCGAAATTCACTGCCAAGGAAGGCTAGGCTAGCTCAGTCTTTGATGCCCTCTGATGCCCAAGCAGGCAAGGATTTTTTTAGTCACATGGGCTTTGGGATTTTAAACTGATGCGTGCTGAAAACCTGTTTGCTGAAAACTGATGGGGCCTGCTTTTGTCATGTTATTTATGTGTTTTTGATTGATTTGTATTTGCTCTAATTATAACTTCTATTATATCTTGTATTTTATTGTTAGCTGTCTTGATTCCTAGTGGAAAGATAGAATATAAATTTAACAAGTAAGTGATCTCAATTTAAATCTGTTTAAACAAGTGCTTTCAATTTCTCAAAAAATCAAATTCCTCTCAACATTTGCCCTGTATGAAACACGAGTCAGAAAACACGAGACAGCAAAGTAAGGTAGCCCTTTATGAAATAAACAGAAGACACACCAAGTAACACCACTGATTGGTCTAAAATGCTCCTGCTCCAAAGATCTCAGACAACAATAGGGCATGCTTTATTCTACTGCACGGGTCTTCAGTGGAGTCAGCCAGTGCATGTTAATTTTATTTTATTTTTATTTATTTATTTATTAAAACATTTTTATGCCGCCCCATTCGCCAAAGCCTCGGGGCGGCTTACAACAATAAATTAAAATAACATTTTAAAATATATACATTAAAATACAAATATATGATATAAAACATACAATATAAAACAAGCCACCCTGGCCAGATAAAATTCAATAATATTAACATTTAAAATACTGCTTAAATAAAAAGGTCTTCGCCTGACGCCGAAAAGCAAATAACAACGGCGCCAGGCGGACCTCTCTGGGGAGCGTGTTCCATAACTTAGGCGCCACCGCAGAGAAAGCCCTCCTCCGAGTACCCACCCTCCTAATTTCCTTCACGGAGGGCTCCCGGAGAAGGGCCTCTCCCGCCGATCTCAGGGGGCGGCTGGGCATATATGGATGTAAGCGCTCCTAATTGACTGCTTTCATGGCCCACCCTTTTGCCCAATAAATTTCTATGCTCTTTGGTAGTCATAAACACCAATTCAGAACACACATTGTACAGTTAGCAAGTTAAAGGACTGTGAATCCAGTTTAAGAGATTAAAGCTATAGGTTATCTAACATGAAAGTTTACTTAAAATTTTGTTTACTACTTTATATTATGACATCTTTTAAAAACATGGATAATTTTTCATCCACTCTGGTTTCTCAGCTAAAACTTGCTCAAAAGGATACATCATTAGAAGAAGTACAAAAAGGGCAAAA